AGCGGAGATGGTGAAGGAAAGCGGTTTCCGGCGGCGAAAAGGAGAGAGGATTGGAGAGAGGGAGAGGAAGGAGAAAAGAGGATTAACTGAGGGTAAGATTGAGAATGAGATTGAATTGGGAGTTATTGTAGCCATTATTTTTAATTTTTAAGTTATGAAACTGCTTGGATTCGTACAATCTACTTGTGATTTTTTAAATGAGAAATTGGATTTTAAAATGAGTTAAAAGATAGTTTTTGTGTTCAAGAACGTCTCCCAAGAATAGCATGATCCCATGCCCTATGCAAATCTCGAAATTGCCCTTGATTAAATAACAAATTCGCTTAAACTCGCAAAGAATTTAAATTTCTCGTATAAAACTTGCAAAACTATAATTTTAACATCAAATTTCTTAGTTATTTTTTAATTCTTTTCTCTAATTTTCTTTTTTTATTATTTTCTTGACTACTCGAATTCATAAACTTTAGATCATAAGTGAATGTACCTTTAAATGGCACTGTAAAAATAGGTTGTCACCTGTCTATGCAACTTCTTTCCATTTTCTCTGCCACTTGTCCATTACTTTGGGCTGGTTTTGTGGTCCATAATCTCAATTCTCAAATAATAAGCTTACAAAGAAGTCCAACCCAATTAATTAGTTCGAAAATTAGAATTTTGTCAAAACTTGAATTTCTTAATATTTTCTGGATATTAATTTTCTTACTTATTTATTAATATCAAAAAATAAATAACAAAATTTATTTATTTTAAAAAAATATATTTTCTAGGAATATATTTTTGTGGAAAACATTTTTGTTCACACCAAACACATCCTAAGGGTGTGTTTAATAGGGAAGAAAATACTTTTCAATATTTTTATGTTGAATTGATCAAAATATTTTCTCTGGTTAAATAACAATGTAGAAAAATGACTTTCCTATAATAGAAGTAAGTAAAACAAATTGCATGAGTAATATTAATCTAAATTCATTGTCTCCTCTTCAAGCATTCACACTACACCAAAAATGATCGTTAACGATAATTAACTAACAGCTATAACTTAATTATCGTTAAATATAGATTTTCAGAGACAATTAAAACTCTTTGTAAATGTCACTAAAACTTATAGTAACATTGGATTCAATTGAAATTAATTAATACCGATAAAAAAATTGTCATTTTTTTGTTAATGTACATATTTATTGTTGCTAAAAGGTATTTTAGTCATAGTGCATCCCCCAACCCTTGATCATCCCACCCTTGTATTCTCACTCCCCGTCTCATTTCATCACGCTTCCTTAGTATTTTGATAAATAACATATAAATATTTTTAGAATGATATTTTCTCGTTGACTTATTAAATACTCACTTACTTTTTAAGAAGATACTTTTACGAAAAATATTTTTCTTCATACCGACCACCGCTCTAGATGGGAAAGAAGCCAAGAAGAAAGTTAAAAGAGTACTGTAGAGGTAGACATTGGTAATGAGTTACATTTATGGTCCCAATTCCCAACTTGCCTTCATAATTTATGTCTGCACCTGTTGAGACTAAGCTTCCCATGCGTGTCTCCTCTTATCCAACCATTTGTCACGACCCAATTCATCGGACGTGCGGACACCCACTCTAACACCTAAGTAGGAGAACCCTCATATTCCAATAGTCAATTATGTGGAAAAATTTAAAGAAAATAGATGTAATTACAATAACACGATTTTATAATTAATACCCTTTTTAAATAAATTATAGTTAAAACTTGTAAAGTAATTAACAATCCCAAGGATCTAGTCTAAACAGGTACAAGAGCTACTAAAAGTACAACTGGACAAGATAAATAAAAGACTTAGCTCCCACCATGCGAAAGTAAAAATAGAAGCTGCTGGAGATTTTCTTCGTCTTCACCTAATGAAACGTCACCAATCCTGCATCCAGACTATGTCAAAAGACATAGCAAGAGTAGTATCAGTCCAAAACACACGTATTGGTAGGCATCATCAGTCAACCCGACGCCCACCACATAACATAAGAAACCAACTAGTAAGATCATGAAATAAACCACTCGCTTCTCCACCTTCACCCATTTCATTGAAATACCTCCAATCACCCTAGCATTCTAACTACTAACCCATTTTTAATCAACCCACTTACCAAATTCTTGATCATAGCTTAACCATTCTAACACGTAAGAATTTTCCCAAGTACAAACACCACTAAATCAACTAACCCTACACATCCTACCTTACTTCCTCATCACATTACCAACCATAGTCACATAATACAATGCTTCAAACTTTCTTAAAACTAACCCAATCTCATTTCCCCCAAGGTGAAATCCATCCAGCCATTTCCTTTACATACACTATCTCTACTCTCGCCATTACAACCCATGAACAACCAACTATAAATCGTCATAGCACGGGTCCTCTAAGTACAACATAACTAACCAATACAATACTTTACTCACAAACGTATATCAAGCATATACAATATTGTCAACAAGTACACGAACAACGAATAACTCACATTTATATCACATCATTGGTCCTCTCACGGAACCTAATCTCAAACGGCTAGCATGCCGGAACGTGGCAACCGATCTCAAGTTAGTGTGCCGGAATGTGACAGTCAATCCCATGTTTATGCAGGAACATGACAATTCGATCCCATTCACACATCACAATCACAAACACAGTACATCATCAAGATCTTACATTTAAGTCATGAATTCATGGCAATGATATTCATCTATCTCATTTACAACAAGTGTGACCAACCTTGCAACATTCATACATATACAAGCATCATAATGAAACAAGAACAAGCATACATCGCACAAACATAGACTCACAATCATCACCTACAAATTACTCCTCAGTCCCCATCACATATAAAATAATTGACCATACTCAGCGCTAGTTCATCATTAGGATTTTTCATTAGGGTTTAATCACAATTCATCATAATTTCTCAATGTCAACACTTCAATTATCGGATGTAGCATACATTCATAAATATAGTTCCACTCTTGATTTCATGCCCTCATTCTTGACCCAATCTTATCCATGATGGCAATTCTAGGTTTTTTTAACAACTCAGCAATTCCTCCTCACAAGGCATAAACCCATATACTTTAAACTCTAAGGATTATTCATGTAATTCACTAGGTGCACGAAGGTCTACACACAATCCTACCATTGATTTACATATATCACGTAGTAAGCACAGATTTAAAACTACTCAATTGTAAAAACCTAGCCTACCTGGGCGCTAAGCAGTTGTACGGAGTTTTTGACTTCAAATCCAATTTTTCGGGATTCGCGACGGTAGATTTGTCCAAGAATCCGCAAGATTTCACCATCCCCACGCTAGAAATCTCATTCTCCTTCCTTCTCAAGCTTAGAGCAGCTTTTCTACGACTTATTTAGGTATTTTAGGGAGATGGAGAAAATAAGATTTCTTGCAATTCACATTCTGCCTTGCTTATCCCGCTCTGGCGCCAACTTACCCTGCCCCAACGGCACCTGGCCCACCCTGGCGGGATAGTGGCCCAGATTTTTTTTATTTCTCGAATTCTTGTTTTTCCCAATAATGACGGTTCGGGTCGTTACACCTTACTTTCCTCTGCTCCTTTCAGGTTTTATTACTCCCAAGACCAATTTTTCTTTTGTTTTCTTTCCAAACATTTATCGAAAATAATTTTTCTATCGCACAAAGAAAAATATATGTGCGAATCACCTTTATAGGTTTTTAGTGTCGGTAGATCAAAATTTACCATCAAGAAAAAGTCTTGACCTTAGATTAAGCTAGTCTCATCATTCACGTAATTTCTCCGTTCATCGATTGATCACGCAAATAAGCATTAACTCAACGCATAGCGAAATGAAAAAAACTCCCTACTAGTGAAAGTGCACAATTATATTGTTGTAGTACTAAAAAATTAATTATATTACAAGTTCGTAAGAAAGATAATAAAGTTAGTATCATAGTCCATACAATTATTAGTTTTAATATATAAGACTATATTATATAACATATTAGCCTAAACTTTACCTCTTAGCACCTCATAAAACTTCAAATATGATGGTACAAAATTTCTTGCACTTATAGTTATACCAAACTATAGTAACATGATATTTGTATTCGGCATATATTTTTTTTATCAGAGTGACCTTATTTATATCATAATAAAATAAATTGATTTGTTGTAAAAAAAAAAGAGAAGGTAAAAAGTTCCATGATCAAATGTAAAGTATTGGTGAACTCGATGATGAAGCTAGAATTTTTTGGTTCAAAATATGAAATTAATAGACACAAAAAAATCGAAGGTCGACAATTACTCTATATATCTGTGTAATTTTCTACTAATAAACCCCTCGAGCTTATCTAGGTGAACCCATCATGTAAGTTGCTACACGAGGCACACTAATTTAATATTCTAAAATTTGATCCGTATCTCTTTATTTTATTTCATCTAGGTTGTCACACAAACATTAAACAATAGCATAGGTAGAATAATTTGTTGTATATACACTATATAATAGCCAAAAAATTCTTTTGGCCAAAAAATTTGGTCAGAATAATATTTTACACATGATTTTACCTTTATAAATATTTTTACCGTTTTAACTTTAATAACTTTTAACTAAAAAATAGAAAAATGATCAATTTATTTTAAAATAAAAAAAGATATTATAATTTTTTAAAATTTCTGATCAAATTTTCTGGCTATTTAGCATTATCCTATAATACTAATAATAATAATAATAATAATAATAAGACTAAACATCATGATAGTCTCTAGGTGAATAATTTAACCTGAAAGCCTAGTCAAAAAAACTAAACTTAACCAATAAACAAATAAAGAAAAGGTCACCCCAAATAAGATAAAAAGAATCTACTCAATTGAGGTCATTGGTTATGATGATGTTTGCATTATTATGGGATTGATTAGTATATATTATAATACTATAATTAAAGATTAATGCCATCAACTTTACTCTAACATCATCAATCAACATCATTTATATTAATAAAACTTTCAATAAAGCATCCAAAGTAGTGTCAGACACCATAATCACCTACTACAATATTTTTTTTCAATAAAATAAAAATTTCACCAATCACTTCAAATATTATCTCATTAGCCTTCTTGTTTCTCAACCAAGACATTTTTTTTACCCACCTAAACCAAAAAAAAAAAAGTGCCAAATATGTCTAAAACAGATTCAATTATCCAATTTACAAAAAACAGTTTCTGAATCTGCAAATAGTCTTTTAACACCTTGCAAGTTGCTTACTAGGACAAAACTTGCTATCACTCATCAATTATTATTATTACCATTATTATTATTAGGAAATAATACCAAATACATTATCATCAGTCTCTGATTTATCCATTCCTCTTGTTTCTCAACCAAGACATGTTTTTTTCCCACCTAAACCAAAAAAAAAAAAGTGCCAAATATGTCTAAAACAGATTCAATTATCCAATTTACAAAAAACAGTTTCTGAATCTGCAAATAGTCTTTTAACACCTTGCAAGTTGCTTACTAGGACAAAACTTGCTATCACTCATCAATTATTATTATTACCATTATTATTATTAGGAAATAATACCAAATACATTATCATCAGTCTCTGATTTATCCATTCCTTCTTCCAACATCATTTCTTTGTATCTGCAATCACTGCTGCAAAATGCCTTCTCACCTCTACAAAGAAAACACAATACACAATTACAAAAGGGAAATTTTTCGAGGGTAGAGAATATGCAAACCTTGGAGGTTGTTTCTGAAAGACCCTCGACTCAAGTGCATTAGTAGTTATGAATGAGGAAATAGGCCAATGAAGAAAACATGATAACTAATATGGAGAGCAATACAAAGCATATAGAAAAAGGAACAAAAACATTGTCATATATATGGTAACAAATATCAAAAGGCAAGAAACGAATAAGGCTAATACTACGACATACATGATGCTCCAGACTACTGCCAAGCCTAATCCCACCAAAAAGCACGACAACACCTACTAACCTTCTAACTTAATCTACGACTCTTCAAATGTTAGTGTCATTTTAAAGAATCTTTCACAGAATACAGAACCTTACAGAAGTTCTCAATCCTACTACCAAAAATTTGCAAAGAGTAGAAGAGTAAACTATTCTAAAAAAAGGTGTGTCAGACAACAATTAAATCATGAACAAAGAGAAGTAAAAATCTGACCCTCATGACCACATTAATCAAACAAACAGATCATATGAAATCATCAAAATACTTTAGAATAGGCTATGAAACTTTAACATCTAAACCTACTTTTGGACTTAGTCTCATAATGTCATAAACATTTTTTAAAGGTTATTTTACAGAAAAAAAAAAAAAAACTTTGCTAAAACTCTGAATGCTACTAGAAATTTGCCAAAGGGTAAGTTCAAATTAACCTTGCTCAAGAGTAAATTGTACTAGAACAAGTATAGTGAGTATCAAACAACTTAAAGGACATATCAAATAAGTTAAATCATGCAAAAAGGAAAAGTCTTCCCCTTATGACTAAGATTAAGCTAGCGTTTGGCTATAGATTTTGAATCTAACCAAAAACCGGTCTAGACTAGTTTTTTGGTTTTTGGGACTTCAACTCACAAAACTTCAACTTTTTACCAACATAATGCATATCCAAATACAACTTGAAAGTTCCAAAGCCACACTTCAAGATTCAAGTTCAAAATCTACGGCGAAGCGAGAGCTAAACAGATCATAACTAGGAGCTACTAGTCAAGTTTTGAAATTTTGTAAAAACCAGAAAATTTGGAATACCTGTACATGTAAATGTCTTTCCCTATTCCAAGATTCTTCTTGCAATTGTGACAGAAGCTGAGAAAACTCTCAGATGGATAGCTCATTGGAGGATTAGGAAAAGTTTCATTTTCTTTTCTTGATGCAGAGTACTTAACAACACCACAACAGCTTTCAAGAATACAATCATCAAATATATGAGTTGTTCTTGGATTTGGACCATATGAAATTACACAAGTATACTCCTCAGAAAGCTCCATTTCAGCAGCAGAGAGACTACTAAAAGCCCCAGGTGAATTTGGGATATCTATGTTAGAATTTGAGGAACCAAATGGAGATTTCTTCACAGGAGATGGTGAAAAGCCAGGAGAGAAAGAACCTAACTGAGAATTTCTAGTCTTGATACCAAAATCACCAGGTGAAGGTGGTGAATCAGTAGGGTAATTAAAAGAAGGAGGCAATGTAGGGATCTGAATCTTCAACTGTGAACCAAGAACAACCATTCTACTAATAGAATTCATTTCTTTAGAATCAGATTTTTCATCAATCAGAGCATCAACAAGACCAAGACCAACCCCTTTTGAGTCAAGTTTCTGAAAATGAACTCTACTTTCTGGTTTAGGAGATTTTGGATCAGACCAAAAGGGGTTTCTCAAAACAGTGAAAGGCTTACTATCAAGAATTGAAGTTGGACTCATAATAGACTCAGTATCAGGAAACCCCTTAGCAGAAAAACAAGTAAACAACCTTGGTGAACCAAAAAAAGAAGAGGTTTTTCTTGAATTCTCCATTGGAGATGGTAAAGAATTATAATCTGCCATTATAAACTGTGCTTAAAAGATTCTGATCTTGAACTTCTCCTTATTCCTATACAACAAAATCAAACCAAAGTGTTACAAAGTTTCCAACTTTCCAATTTAAGAAACAAAAAAAAAACTTACTTCCAACAAAGATTACTACATACCTTGATTATTTCAGCTTGAATACACCATCAAGATTCAATTTTTAAGCAACCCCAGAAACTGATTTGTACCAAAAAGTAAAGATCCAAAGAAGGGATGAATAAAGCAACTTTCTTTCAACAAGAAGAATCCATCATATCTAAGAACCGACATGAGACCTCAATAGTCATCATCAACACTAAACATTTACAAAAGCAACAAAAAATTAGTCATCTTTTTCTTTCTCTTCCCCTTGCTTTTTTTTCTCTCTTTTGTTTCCTGTGAATACTTACAACACTATATTATTTCAGCAAAATTGCAACATAAAGACACAAAGCCTTACATGCAGACAAAGACCCACAAATCAAAAGTTAATCAACAAAAAGAAAAATTAAAAAAATACCCCATAATTTTTTTATTTTTTTATTTTTTTTTAAAAAAGTCTGATTCACTCTTCTAGTGCTCCTAACTGCAACTTTTTTTTTTTTGTGGGTTTTTGTCCTCTTTCCCAACCCACTACACTTTTAGTCCCTTTTCCCCTTTTTTTCTCCACACCTTACTCTTGTTTCAGTTTCTTGAAACAACTTTTATTTATAACTTGAAAAAAAAAAAAAAAAAAAAAGGTGCATGAAAATCAGTGGTTTAGATGAAAACATTGGGCTTTAATCTGAAATGTGGCAGGTTATTCATGGTGGTATTTTTTTTTTTTTGGTGATTGAAAGCTCAGTCACTGAAAGGGAGTCTGCTAAACTGAGGGAACTGCTTATTAAATGAAAAAAAAAAAAAAAAAAAAAAAGGTGCATGAAAATCAGTGGTTTAGATGAAAACATTGGGCTTTAATCTGAAATGTGGCAGGTTATTCATGGTGGTATTTTTTTTTTTTTGGTGATTGAAAGCTCAGTCACTGAAAGGGAGTCTGCTAAACTGAGGGAACTGCTCTTCTCTAATACCTCTAGACTTCAGCAATATATCTATATATGGAGTTGGCCATTGAGTTAATTTCTTGAAGAGATGAGCAATGAATAGTGTTGTCAGTGGTAAATGTCAATTTTAAGGGTGTGGGGTTGTACAAGTTTTGTACAATTTGAGTATTTTGTACATTCTTTATAATTCTCTAATCTCCTCCACTACTTTTGTGAGAAATTAGAAATAATTTGATGGTAAAATATCATTTCCAAGATATGCAAACACATTATTCTCTATGAATAAATTCCACTGAATTATTATTTTTATTGATTCGTGAGTATAACACCAATAAAAATTGTGTAAAGTATTGATTATTGTTTCTTTGATCTTAACTTGAACTTTTAAATCTGAATTCTATTTGAGTACAAATTTGTCTATATTATAGAGTGCTTTATCTTAGTATAATATTTTTTAACATAAATTTTTGAATACAAATATTGAACATGCATGAGTAACGAGACAAACAATCAAAAAATAAAAAGTTTTAAGAATTATTTTCTTAAACTTATGACTTGTTTTCAAATACATTTTTCATTTTTAAAGTAATGTTTAAGTCTATCGACAATGCAGGTACGGAGTGGTAGAGTGAATTGTTCAATGTCATTTTAGGATGTCAAGAATGCACGAAGAATATATGTGGAGTACAATGATCTCATTCAATCATTCAAGAACAAGGAGATATTTAGATTTACAATAATTATAGGACTAAAGTTGTTAAGCCAAATTATGGAAGTTTGGAAAATGGTGATGGAAATAAGAGTGACAAGTAATGTGTCTATTATCGAGAGCCAGTTTAATTTATATTGGTGTGTTCAAGTACAGAAGTCATTCATATCTTAGGAAGATTAGTAATGCAGTATAGCGAGAGAAAGAGCAACTTACATATGATGTTTATTAACCTAAAATAAGCATATGATTAGTCCTTAAGGTGGGGGGAGGAGGTTTCCTATTGAGGTGTTCCAAAACTAAATAAGTATATGTAGCTTATATTAGGTGATAAATACATACATGACAAAGCTATTACACGAGTGGGGAAGGTGGGAAGAGACTTAGAGCACTTTGCAATTGTGATAGGATTGCATCATGGATCATATCTTGGCTTATTTTTATTTGTCTTAGTGATAAATGAGCTGACGCAACATATCCAAGGATAAGTATCATGTTGTATGTTATTTGCGGGTGATATAGTATTGATCAAAGCAATGTGTGATGGAGTTAATTTTTATAAGTGTCTGGAAACAAGCCCTAGAATCTAAATGATTCAGGTTAAGTAGGACTAAGATAGAATACTTGCAGTGCAACTCACAAGACAAATGTGGAAGTGAGAATTGATACTCAAGTTATCTCCAAGAGAGAAAATTTCAAGTATATTGGGTCTGTTATCCAGAATAATGGTAAGGCCAACGAGATGTTACACATCGCATTATAGTGGGTGGAAGAAATATAGGTTTGCATTCAATGTCTTATATGATAGGAATGTGTCACGTTAGACTTAAAAGTGACTTTTATAAAGTGATGGTCAGACTAATTATATTGTATGAAATAAATTATTGATCAATCAAAAACTTGCGGTCAGAATTTTAAAATTTCCCTATAGAAAAAGGAATTCTACCATATCTAATATTGGAAAAGAAGTTTTAAAATTCTATAAATAGAATATATTTTCATATATTACATAACACAATACTCTTTCATAATGAGCCGTTAAGAATTTAGTTTAGAGTGAGATTATACTCTCAATAAGTTTTATGCTATTAGTTTTTCGATATGTCGGTCAGTTGACCAAATCATATTAGATATTATGTTTCTTTTAGTAAAAAATTTCTTAGTCATTTGATTCGCCGTTGCCAAAATCTGTAATTATTGATTTCCACATGGCGCCCTACAATTAAAGGACGAGTATATTATTGACATGGAGGCAATGGGTTCATGATGGACAAGAGGAGGAAGACAAGACTGAAACTATTTGGACATGTGAAGAGAATATGACTAGAAAGGATGTGTGGGAGGTCGGCTCTGTTGGGCCTAAGGAGTGTAACGACTTGCTTCCGTTGTTATAGAAAAGCCAACGGGAAAATTTTTGGAACGTAAAACTTTTTGGTAGTAACTTGAGAATTCCTAGCCTAGTCCAGATTTGGACGAAATCGGAGTCAATGAGGTCTAGGAAAATCTAGTAATGAATGAGAAGTTTAATAATGAATTTGATTACATGAGTGGATAGCTAAGATGTTAAGGAACCCGTACGACTTTACGGAATCGAATTCAGGCGAGTAGAACTCCTGAAACTGATCTTAGCGTGAACGGGTAGTTTCTGAGTGTCATGGGTTGAAGGTGTGTTGTGAAATGGGGGTTCAAAACTCAATTTTCAACTCTCTGTTTCCGTGCAAACCGCCAGGGCAGTATTTATCCCGCTAGGGCGGAGCCGCTGTGGCGGGCTAGGTCCCGCTAGGGCGGTACAGTCGCGACTTAAGTCGGAAATAAACCCCAAAAATGTCATTATTCTGCACACTTCGTTCTTAAGAGTTAGGAGACAACTCCAGGCGATTTCTTGGGAGTTTTCCTCTACTTTTGGTGCAAAAGGTAAGAATTTTACTCCCCTAATCCGTTTTTCGATTCGTAGAACGTAGAATCTTAGTTAAATATTGTTGGGGGAGGGTTTTGGACTGAATTGGGTGGTGGGAAAAATCTCTAGCTGCACCTTAGGATCATGGTTTTGGTCTTAGGTTCTTAAAGTTTCATATTCTGGGTAAATTAGACCTTAATTATTGATCCTCGTATTGAATTGGTTGTTTGTAGACCTAGAACAAAGAGAAAGAATCCGGAAAGGGAAGAATCAAGTTTCTTAGGAGGATTCAAGTTTGTTTTCGAGGTAGGTGATGGTTTGATTTCTTGTTTGTATGATGTATGTTAGTTATTGCTTCATTGTAATGCATGTATATATGTGAATATTGCACTATTGATCACACATAATGCAATTGAGTATGAATGGATGATTGTATGCCATGAACCAACACTTGATTGTATGATTTTGAGAATGTACATTGTGATTGTGATTGTGGCTTGTTGAATGGATCGGGTGTTACGTTCCAACACACTAACTGGGATCGGATGTCACGTACCGACATACATATTGGAACAGGTGTCACGTTCCGACACACTAACTTGGATCTGGTGTCACGATCCGACACACTAACAGTTTGGGTATGGGTTCCATGAGAGGACCATTGGCTTGTCATATATGTGTGTTATTGAAAATGTGAAATGGTACATTATTCCTTAAATGACAACTGATATTGTATATGTTCAGTATATGCATGTTTACTTTGTTGTGACTGCTTTTATGTGTTTCACTTACTGGAATAGCCGTGTGATCCTACCATTACACTATGGTTATGTACTGATACTGCACTTGTTCTTTCTTTATTGAGTACATGGCATCTTCAGGCGACTACTGACAGACTTCGATTAGGAGATCAATGATCAAATCGAATTTATGGGTGAGTCAGTTCTTCCAGGCTGCCATGAGTTCTCCTTTTTGCTCAGTCCACTTTATTCGAACTTAGATTAGTACTTTAGATATTCAGTTGTTATAGGTTTCGGGGTTGTACCCTTTTTCTTTAGACTTATGATTTTGTTAGAGTTTTGGTACACTGACTTTCAGTTCTAGGAAATATTTCCGCAATATTTGATAGTCTTGTTACATTCCCGGAGTTTATGGGGACTCCTTATTTCGTTTCTGCATTTAAACATGCTTATGTATCTTTAAATGCTTAGTTCTTGGGTTAGCCGATTACTATTAATGGTTCTTCCACCGGAGGGTTAGTGTGGGTGCCAGTCACGACGGTCTGGGTCGTGACAAGGAGAAACAAAGATACATTGAAGAAATATGGGATAGAGGTGATTAAACAAGATATGATTCACACAATTTATCAATGACATGACCCTATATAGGAGAATATGAAAGTCGGGGATTATGAAGAAGGCTATTAGGTAACTAAGAGTTGTCTAAGGTATTTTGTCGGCGTTCTTTCCTCCATTATTTTGCATGACTACTTCAATACTTTATTTTCTTTTCATATTTTTTTTTTACATATGTGTTTATCATGCCTAGAATTATTGAATATAGTCTTTCTAGTTTAACAAAATAGAAACAAATTTTCGTATGCACTATCTTTCCCGAACCCCAAACAAATAAAAATGGATGAAAAAATGTACAATTTATCTCAAGTATTTATGGTTGTAGAGCAAGTTTTAACCAAACCACCACTTTTTACTATTTTTTTAAACTTATTAGTGAATATAGAGAGTAATAATTGAAATAAGAAAGGTCCAAAAAATGATAGGGAAAAGAGAAGAAAAGATGAGGTAATCCAATTATTATCCCAATAGAGTTAAGTGAAAGGAGTGGGGTATAGGGATGAGTGGCTGAATGGTTCACGGACTGTCAAGTGGGCCCACTATCATCCTTCTCAAAACAAAAAAGCCTCGAATTTCGTTATAATTTTTCATGTCTTTTAACTTTTTGTGGGTCCACCTTTTACCGTTTATTAAGCTCTCTTTCTTCATCCAATCACTAATTTTCGCGCTTGGAAAAAAAAAAATTCTTTTTTTAACGAGCGAATACACCGATGAATGTATTAATATATATTTTGATATCAAATATATATATTTATACAAGATGAAACTGATATTAGATGCAAATTATAAGGATATTTATGACTTTTTTCAAAAAATTTAACATATTATTGATACAATATATCACTTGTAGATTTCATTGATTGTGTTATTGTTG